TACAGATGCATTCACTTGCATGTACATTTGTCTGAGTGTGTTTATGGAAGCCAGAAATAAACATCAGGTATCTTTCACAATTGGTGTCCATTTTATACTTTGAAACAGAATCTTTCATTAAGGCTCACTGATTGACTAGATAAGCTGTCAGACAAACTGTGAAGATCTTCCTGTCTCCACTCCCACTTCCAGTTCTAGGATTATTGACACATGACCACACCCAGAGTTTACATGAGTGCTGGAGATCCAAACTCAGGTACCTTACCCCAGGAGCTAACTCCCCATCCTCCGTGTCTTGTTGTTAATGCTCAGTGTTCAGAGATGATTCCTCTGAAGGATGCCCCCACGTCCTCATGATCATACATGAACTTGTTAATGCATGACAATCCAACCACAAGTTACGCTTTTTAAAATATCTTCTTCCAGCTCCAAACAAATGGCCCCTTAGACTGGTGCTGCTCAGAGTGAGTCATGACCAGACACAGCAGTGCACAAGAAAACTACGAAACACTGGTTCTCAGGCTGCATCTCAAGCCTGCTGACTCAGCATCTGGGGCTGGGCCAAGCATTCTGCATGTTAAAAAGCATCCAAGGTTACACCAAAGCTTATGTGTATTTGAGCGCTCCAGAGTTAAGCTTTTATTTGAGAACAGACGAATCCTGGGAAAATCTGTAGCTTAAAGGTCAGGTACTGGGAAGTAATTCATGCTGTTTTCTGTTGCGGTGGCTTGTAAACATTTTAACCGCAATCTTTACAAAGGAACATACTGTCTTCATATTGCAGGACAAGTACATGTGCATGCACATAGGATGTGCAATGAAATTAGTGTTTCATGAAACAATATGCATCCTTATTAACTGTGATTCATTCTGCAAATATGCACCCTACTCCATTCCGTTTTCAAAAACATTGGGCTAAGCCAACTGAATTGATTTTGAAATCCTCTAATGAATCACAACCAGACTTTGCAAAACACCAATCTGTAGCAATCAGCTGAAATACAAAGCTCAACTGAAGCATAAACTCAGAGGAAGAGAACATAAAACATTGCAAACTAGTCATTAAACAAGACTGTATTTTTAGATATTCTTAAAATGTTTGCATTTAGCTGGATTTAGAACACTTTAATTACAATACTGATCTTGAAATGAAGTGAATGCCATTTAGTCTGATTACAAATCTCATTACCTTCAACTAACAATTATGGATCTTAGGAGGGCACAAGGGGCACTTGGCTCTTTCATGTGACTGGAGTGAAGGCCTAAGGGACAGTCTCCCTAAGCCCCAGTTTCTTCATCTATGAAACGAGGCTGATAACAAAACCTACCTCAAAAAGCTAGACACAAGGGTCAAAGGGCCTGGAGAGATGACTTAGCAGGTTAAACACTTGCTGTACAAGCATGTGGACCCAAGTGCAGACTCCTAAAAGCTATGTGGTACCCATCTGTAGTCTTTGCAAGTGGGAGGCAGAGACAGGAATCCTAGAAATGAACCGTTAACCTAACTTTTGGAAACTTCAGGGAGCTATCTGCATCTATGTATAAGGTGAAAGCAAAAAAGGTTCCCAGTATCAACCTCAAGTGTCCACATACATGCACATATATGTGTGTATATACCGATACATACACATACGAAAATGCTTACACATACACATATCACACATACATGAATGCAACAAAAGTTGCTATGAATATTCAATGGGATTGTTCACTAAAATAATAGTAATTTAAAATAAAGTGCTGGAGGTGTCTGCCTCTGCTTCAGCTAAACACTGAACTAATTCCTGGAATCCGGTGACAGAGAGGGAGGATTGATAAGCAAAGGGGTTAAGACTGGGCTGGTTTAACCCACAGAAACAGCTGACCTGGACAAGGGGGAGCTCTTGGACCCCAGACTGATGACTGGGAATCCAGCATGGGACTGATCCAGACCCCCTGAATGTGAGTGTCAATGAGGAGGTCTAGGAAATCTATGGGGCCTTGGGTAGTAGATCAGTATTTATCCCTGGCATACAAAGGAACTTTGGGTGCCCATCTCACAATGAGGGATGCTCTTTCAGTCTGGACTCTTGTGGGAGGGCCTGGGCCCTGCCCTGAATGCAATGACAGACTCCAGATATTCCCCATGGAGAACCTCACCGTCCCTGGGGAATAGAGTGGGGATTAGGTGGGGGCCTGGGGACCTGATAGAGGGGCCGGGGGAGGAGGGGAAGGAGAGAACGCTGGGATTGACATGTGGAGCAAGCTTGTTTCTAATTTAAATAAAAAAAAAGACAAGAAAAAACTAGCAAAAAAAAAAATAAAGTGCCACTGAACAAATATTATTACCACCTTAAAAGAACAGTGGAGATATTTAAGTAAAGCCTCTCTCTCTGTGTGTGTGTGTGTGTGTGTGTGTGTGTTATTGTACATCCAAATCTAATACTTACTTGGTTCTATGTTTCCTTCGATGAACATCTTGTGTTCCCAAGTCTTTGTTAGGGCTCTAGCTACTTGACTGCCTATCTACCCACTTCCTTCCCGTCTGCACTTGAATCTGACATTTCTTGCTCAGACCAGTTTCTGCCTTATTGTCTCCACACTGACTACATCTTCACTCCCAAACCCAACTCTCCCACAGCTTGACCCCCACAACATGGGCGTCTTTACAGAACTGTGCTCTTGTGTCTTGTGAACACAGATTCTACTCAACACTTTTCTCAGCCCACTTCTATAACCTCTTAATGTCTGCTTTAGCCTCTAATTCATTCTGTAACCACTATATATTCACATAAACGGATTTACTATGTGCTATGAGCTTTGTGATGGTTCATATTAGAAATTGGGATTAAAATGAGAGAACATGTATTTGCTTCAGTCAGATTATCAGGATAGACAATATTATCTGACTAAATGATACCATGGGGTGGAGAGATGGCTCCGAATGGTCACAAGCACTTTCTGTACCCAGGATCGGCTTCTAGCACCCATGTGGCTCCTTACACCTGTTGCAACTCATGTTCTAGGGATTCTGATACCGTCCTCTGACCTCTGAGAGCACCAGAAGTGCACAAAATGCACATAAATAATGCAGATAAAGCATGCACACATAGATTATAAAAATAAATCTTGTAATCATTATATCTTATGGATTTATTGCTATCAATACATTTGAACATCATGGAGAGCAAAAATGTGTTAGTCAATGTCTGTGGCATCACTTGCTTACAACATTCAGTAACCTCAGAAACCTGACATGGGGAAAACTTATTTGATAAAAATACTTAAGCCTTCTAGTCCTTAGAAATAATACTTCCTGTAGCATGTTTAAACTAGCCTGCCATTTGTGCATAAGGTTTCTATAAATCTGAGTCTGTATAAACATCAGCAAATGTCCCAACATCCTTTGAGATATGAAAAAAAGTGTCAATCCAAATAGGATAGGAATTGCCAATTCTGTTGGCATACTGGATTCAACTGCCTGGACAGATACTTAAAATACGTTGGAATGATGCGGTTGCCTGCAGTTAGGATGTAGTCTGTAGAAGTGGCCATCACTTTTTTTTTACACTTTTCTAACCTGATTGCAGGCTTGAGGCACCTGGAGAACTTTAAAAACAATTTTCTCCAGGAAGGGATATTGGCAAAGATGCTTACACATACCCACTGGGCAGAGAACACGAATGCTAACCACCTGTGTTCTCCACTGCTGAGCAAGAGGGAAGGATACGGCACTGCATTAGACTTGAGAGGTTTCTATTTCAATTACATTTAGGATAAGCACCTATTTTCTCCCATTTGATGGTTCTCACGCACAGGCCTTTACTACTTTCAACTCCTATTCCTCTAGGATAAGGGTGAGCAATTTTCTTTTTCTATAAAGAACCAGATAGTAAGTTGGTCAGGCTTTTGTGAGTCTGACTGCCATAAATAGCACACAAATCATCAGACCTCTCCCATCCAATTAAACTTTATTTACAAAAGCAGATATGGTGGGGTATTTGGCCAGAGAACCACAGCTGATGCCCTCTATTTTCAGGGAGTTTGAAATTTTAATCGTGCCCATTAACACAAATCTGGTAACAGCATGGAGTAACATGGGAAGTGTTCTCATTCTTAGAAGCTTATCCTTCAACTGCCATCCAATTACCACAAACCAGAAACTCAGAACAGACAGTCCTGTTTATATCTAAACCATATGGACCTGTTCAGACTAGATCTGCCACTGCGTACTATTAAAGCCTGAAGCTTCACACAGATCAGAGTGATCCACCTGCCTTCTGAGCTGAGTCTGCACACCTCTGTGGCAAGCTAAAATGGTGCATGGCAGTCCTGTGTGGGCCTCCTCGTCTGCACAGGATGCCATGGGCTATTTATCTTGGAAGAAAAAAGGAAGAGTCTTTCTTTGCTGCTTCTGCATACCCCTTTACACTCTGCAGTTGACCAATGAGTTATAACCATGGAACCCCAGGCCTAAAGTTCTTGATTAAATAGTTTCTGTTCAACTGGGTGGGTTTAATCAAGGATCCTGCCTCAGCCACCCCTTCTGGGTGTCCCCTGATGTCTTGAAATGAATAATGGATGAAAGGCAAAGACGAGAGGGTGAGAGCATTTGCCCCATGGGTATTACTCTTAGACTGTCAAGCAGTGGCTCAGTGTGAGCTCGTTGCACAGTTGTGTCCTCCCTAAATCTGACTCTGCAAACATGAAAGTCCTGAACCTGTGTTGTGCTGAGAGAGATTGCCTTCAGTTATGCATGAGCTCCCGGAAGCCCATTTTCTACACCTTTGCCAAACAGGGCAGTTTATGTCTACTGTCAAACTCCTCACCCTGAGACAACCAGTGGAAGACAGGGTGGTCTCCTGGGGACGGAGGGTTCTGAGTTTTCCTGTGCATAGCCAACAATTAACCTCCCTGGTTATCCCTGTTAAGGAAAGGAAAACTAAGCAGAACTATTGGTCTGGGTTTGCATATCTATCCTGGTTGCCCTGACTCTGGCTATGGTACCAGACAGTACTTACTTGGAAGTGTTTTCAAGTATTCCCTTGACTTCATTCATTTCTTCTTTCCCAAAGTAAACAACGGTGAGATGAACTCTCCCATCCTGTTGGATACACATCTCCCTGAAAAACAAAACACATGTATGTCTGGTCCTGTCTGCACATTTATCGGAAAACAAAAACCAACTCCCTCTCCCTCCTCCTTCTGCTTTTTCCTTATTTTTTATGTGAAGGGTAAAGAGGCTTAAAGTAAAATCAAGACAGAAGAGAAGGCACTTTGATTGGCCATTCAATTTTTGTTTATTTTATCAGGAAAACCAATATATTTGAATATGTAGATGTGGTAAACCAAACATTAGATTTAAGACACCTTAGAGTGAACTTGCCACTGGAACAGCCTCCTTGGAGACCTCAGGTTGTCCTGGAAAGGGTTCTGGGAAGTCTCTGGCGTATAAGACATTAGTTCTGCGTTACAGATGAGCAATCTAATGTCCTGAGAGGGTGAAACATGAAGCGTTGTCTGTGGATGTTTCCCTGATGTGGGACAAATGACCCAGTCTTCATTCCCAAATGACCCACAGTAAACCATCACCGTTTGGTTTAGGACTGTGAGATGCCTTGGAAACATCACTGCTAACAGAACTGTGGCGGAATCCAGGCCTGTGTGTACATCTTAACCTTGTAAGCAGGTGGGATAAACCTCACTCCTCATGAACTAATGGAGTACATATGTACAACCCTAGGCCCCAAAATTTCCATCAAAATATTTGTGTACAGCCGGAAGGAGCAAAGGCCTAGGAAGAGGAGCCTGGGGTGTAACAGTATGACTTAAAACTGAGCATTCTCTCATAGCCATAGTCCCTGCAGAGAGTCTTTACCTTCTGACAGCAAGTCTCCATACACAAAAGCCACCACTGCCCCATTACTCAGCTGCAACCGATTATCCCAGCACCTGGTGACTCAGAGTCCTGACTAAGTAGCCATTTGGCTCAGCTCTCCCAGGGCCAGATCTTTGAGTCTTGACTGATCTAGAATTAATCCTCATCAAGGCATATGTGTTGCTTGCTATGTCCTATTCTTTCAAACATAGTATCTAGCTGAGCTGCTAAGTTCTTCTGAGTGTTTGTTCATCAAATGTATGCATGTATAACTGTATGTGTACATACATGCAAATGTAAATATATATACACATAAATATTTATGTGTACAGGCATGTATTTATACATATGCATATAAGTATGTAGCTAATGTGAACTGGTGTTTCCTGGGAGCCAACAGGAGAGAGATTCTACTGGTGGGATGGTATTTTGAGATACTGGGGTATTTCCTGTGCCCTCCTTCCATTGTTGACATTCGAACAGTAATCCAAGTCATAGATTCCAGAAATACCTTGGCCCTACTTACAGAGGTCAAAGTACTAGATGTTTTTTGTTATAACATCAAAAAGGGGAGAACCACATTCCTGGGGTTATTGGAAAGCATCAGAAACAACAGAAGGCATGGTTCCTGCCCTAGAAAAATGGACTCAGCAGATAAAATGAGCTCAAATGAAGTCATCAGAGAAGTAGAACTCTGAAAGCCTGGCAAGCTCTCAAGGTGGACTGAGACTTGGAGGATTCGAGAGTTCAGGAAGGTGGGAAGAGACTGGAGGGAAGGTCACCCTGACACCGCTGAGTGATGGGCACGTGAGGTTCAGCCTGGCTGCGAGTGTGCTTCTGACAAATCCTCTACACTCACGGGCTCCCTTGCCAAACCTGCTGGAAAAGTGGAAGGAAATAAAGCATGCAGACCAAACACTGGAGAAACTGTGCTTTAAAATTGTGTGAGAGTGTGAGTATGTAAGAGTGTGTGTGTGAGAGTGTGTGTGAGTGTGTGTGAGTGTGTGTGAGTGTGTGTGTGTGTATGCAGGGGATCTATCCTAGAATCAGGAATGAATCACCTGCTAGGTCTGAATTAATGCCTCCTGTGTTTTCCAGTGATACCTTTGCTGCCCCCTCTCTTTGGTGTTTCAATCAAGGGAGATGGGTCAGACCCAACCCTTAAATGGCCAGATTAGGGATCTCAGGCAGGCAAACTCAAGCTTGCTCTGGCGTTTGTCTCTGACTCTCCTCTTTAGGTGTTTGTGAGTTCTTCTATTCATTCTCTCAACAAGCATTTGTTGACAATATACAACATGCTAGACTCTACCAGGGGATCTTAAGCAAGCAGGACTGACATGTCAGCGCTTGAAGGAGTTTCCCACCTCCTAGGCAGGACTCGACCTACTCACAAAGAAACCACTCAGCGCTCCTTGAGAATTGGAATTGTACAGATTCCACTATTGCAGTCTGAATGGTCTTTGTTTTTCCAAACCTTTCCCATTTGACTACCCCACCCTTGAGGGTGTATGGGAATGGGAACGAGTGTGGTTAGATGACCAGATGCAGACATGTCTTTGTTTCAGAGACAGAAGTTGAAAAGAAGTCTTAAATGACTGACTCATGCTACATACAGACTTCTGGCTTTATATTAATTACTTGTATTTGGACAATGCCGTCTATATTACTAAGGTGATATGCCTACTTCCATTAGCATTGTCCCCAGTGACACTGTGATAGGGTGGTAAATGAAACTATAAAATGATTACGGGGAAGTCAGGCCTCATCAGCCCCTCTCAGGGAGCATGCTATGTTCACAAATGCATCCTGTCACTTCAACAGACCCAATTCCTTGACCTCAAACTAGAAACTGAAAATTCTGTTTCTATTTCACAAATACCATATCTTTTAGAGTGATTTTTAGGCAAAAAACGTGGGTTACAGTCTTTCATGCATATCTATATTTTTATTTCCTGTATGGTCAAAGTCACGATGTCATAGTCTTTGAGTTCTGTTATTAGTCTGTAGTACTTAACCATTTATAGAAGTGTGGAGACCATTGCTCAATGTCTTAGCTTAGAGGTGAGAAAACACATTCCAATAACCTCTGAGAGATGTGCAGAGAGAAACACACACATCTGATTCCATAAGGATTGATAGCATCTGTCTCCCAAGCTACCTTAGCAACAGGGGTGTGTCTATCAGATCCGACAGCTTGGGTTTACTGTATAAGATTCACTGCTAAGCACAGTGCTGTGTTTAGGAAAATGTGGGGTAGAGAAAACCTCAACAAAACTCCACATGGAAATCGTTGTGGGGAAAGATAGGTCATCTTAGCTTCCTGATATGGAAGCCTGTCAGACACGGTCCAGACACACAGCCTAGGGAAGCCTTCTCCAGACACTCCTCCATCCTGTGACTTGGAGATGGCTTCCCTAGGCCTGTCTGCAGGAGGTGTTGTATTCCTAGGCAGAGAACTCATGTTGGGCATGGCTTCTCAAATTCACCACAGAACTGAGCTTGGATCTATGAAGGAAGAGCATCCTGTGTGCCGAAGGGTGATCAGCAGCATCCCAGGCCTCCACCAACTGCATGCTAACGGCATCCCCCTTATCCAGTCTTCATAACCAAGAGTATCTCCATACCTTGCCAAATGTACTCAGGGCTGGGAGGAGTGGGATACAAACTGTGCTCAGTTCTGAAGCCCTGTCTGAAGAATCCAGTATGGTAATGATACCTGATCTGTGAGAGTTCAACACTGGCTGCAAGAAGAAAGCACCCCTGGGTGCCTTGGGAATCCCATGGCAAGCCCAGGGAGACAGCTGAAGCATCACCAAAAGCTTTCTTTGCAGAATAGGAAGCCTTGGAGGGGCATTGGCAGTCTATGCCGGGACTTGAAGGGAATTAATGCAGCAGTGCAAACACAGACAGGGTTGGGCACCGATGGTGAGTACAGTGACGGCAGCAGCCTCTCAGGCATCAGTGAGCGGCAGCCACCTTCAGTTATCATCAGAAGCAGGGGGATGTCTTCTTCTGTGACACTTGGGCTGGCAGTGCACGCTAAACGGGTATCCTTGCACATTAAGAACTCCAGGGCAGACTGGAAGAGCCGTGGAGATGAGTGATCTTGTGTTGCATGCGAGAGGAAGCAGGAAACTGTGTCCTGATGTTGGGTCTTCCGGTTCATATGCCCCATGCTGAGTGGCCTGGGGAATCACTCTACTGTGGTTCTCATGAAGAAAGAATTGATGTGGTGGTAGCCTGGCTTTCAGAGTGGCGATATCAGGAGGTAGGGTTTAGCGTAAGGTGATTAAGTCACCCACAGGGGCACTGTCATAGGAAGGAGTTACTTTAGGCTTTGTGAGAGCTTGGTGCTCCTACGTAGTTATCTGGACATGGTCACACATGTCTATTGTTCTAGCATTTGAGAAATAGAATAAGTTCCATGCCAGATCCTGCGAGAGAGAGAGAAGGGGAGAAAACAGATGGCAAGGACAAGGGGAAGGTGGGGAAGGAAGGCAGAGGAGAGGAAGGCAGGAAAAGTGCAGAGAAAGGAAGAAAGACGAGAGATGAGATAAACAGAGAGCAGAGGAGAGGAGGGGAGGGGAGACAAAAGAAGGGGAAGGGAAAGCAGAGCAGGGAAGGGAGAAGGGAAATGAGGGGAGGGGTGAAGGGAAGGAAGGGTGAAGAGAGAAAAGGAGGTGGGGGAGGCCAGAGCTGGGAAAGCAAGGCATTGTCTGGCTCCTGAAGGCTTCTCTCCTTCACGCTGTTGTTTCTCCTTGTCTGATGTGTTCTCGCCCTGTTTCCAGTCCCAATAACACCCTCTCCAGGAACAAGTCCATGTTAGGACTATGCCTTAAATCTCTACTGTGACCTAAGTAAACTACTTTTTTGTTCTTTGGGGTTTTTAAATTTTATTTTATTTTCTGAGTTCGGTCTCTCATTCTATAGCCCAGGCTAGCCTGGAACTTCTTATGTGGCCTAGGCTGGCTTCAAAAGTGCATTAATCCTCCCTTATCAAGGGTGTCTCCCAAGGGCTGAGACTATAATCATAAGCCACCATGCCCGCCTTAATCACCTTTATCATATTATCTGTAACTACCATATTGTAGCAACATAGATAAAATCAACACACAGACTCAAGAATCCACATTCAGTGAGCACCTGGGTTATGCAATGCTCGTCTTGCCTTGGAGAGGGATTAACACAGGGCCATAATGTATGATTCCCTCCAGGACGATAACAGCCCATTTTTCTTCAGACTCT